TGCGCGGGGAGGTGGCCCTGTCCGCGGTGCTCCACCTTGCTGTTGCCAGTTACCTTGCTGGGTGTTGGGCATACACTCTGCTGGAAAACCCACCGGCTCCACGTTGGGGGGGGTGGTCTCAGACGTGGCTTGTGTTGGGACTACGTGTGAATACTGCCAGGTACCACGTGGGCCAGAGCTTGTGCGGAGAGCTCAAAGGTTCAGCGTCTCACCCCACCCGGAATTCTAATGTCTCAACCCTTCCTTACAAGAAGGAGGGGTGCTTTTCCCATCTGCAACAATCACGGCCTCTGAGACTGGGACACACAAGAATAGAAGAGAATAGTTGACCGTTTTTCTTACAGAAACCACTTTGTAGCCCCCAGGCTCGTGTTTCAGTGGCAATCACACGCCCCAGACCTGCCAGGAGGGTCCCCGCCTCGCTCTCTGCTGTCCTTGGCTATTTCCTTCCACTCCAGGGACAGTCTGCTTTCCTCTTACGTCAACCTCAACAGTCAGAAATTGCTTTCATGGCCGGGCGCAATGGCTCACGCCTGTAATCATAGCACTCTGGGAGGCCGAGGCAGGAGGATCGCTCAAGGTCAGGAGATTGAGACCAGCCTGAGCAAGAGTGAGACCCCGTCTCTACTAAAAATAGAAAGAAATTAGCTGGACAACTAAAAATATACAGTAAAAATTAGCTGGGCATGGTGGCGCATGCCTGTAGTCGCAGCTACTCGGGAGGCTGAGGCAGGAGGATCGCTTGAGCCCAGGAGCTGGAGGTTGCTGTGAGCGAGGCTGACGCCACGGCACTCTAGCCCGGGCAACAGAGTGAGACTCTGCCAAAAAAAAAAAAAAAAAAGAGGAAAAAAGAAATTGTTTTCAAGACAAAATGAAGTTAGGTTTTATTGCCAAGATCTTCGACACTTTTCTCTGATGTAGGCTGTGGTGTAAGGAGCCAGTGAGAGAGAGGCGGGAGACCCGAGTCTGTCCAGCCCAATCTTGCACACTTAGAAACCGGGCCAGCACTGTCCCTGCCCTGGGAGATCATCTATGAGACGGTCTCTGTGTTATTAGGACACAAACATGAACAGGGACAAATTGTCACGGAGCGAATCTGGCGTATCCAGAGGGCTCTAGCTGGGGATTCAGAGGCAGCGGCACGTCCGCGAAAGAGGAAGTTTTTACCAGGCGTGGCCTGGGACAGGGCAAGCCTCATAGTTGAGGAAAATGCCTCATTTTCCAGCTCACGTCCCTGTTACACCCACCATTATTTTCCGGCTGAAAACGAGCTCAAGGTGGTTGATATCGTGCCCACCGTGAGCAGATCCTGGAACTGGGACGCGGGCACAGGGGTGAATTTCGGCCATGAACGGCCCCTGGTCTAGACGCACGTGTGCAGAAGGGAAGCTCGCAGCCCGGCGGCACAGCTCGCTTGTGGGTGAGCGCGAGGCACTCGGCAAACGCTGACAGGGAAGAAATGAAAAGCGCACAGCTCTCCAGGACTCTCGTTTCATTTTCTCAAGGCCGACTTTGGCAGCTGCCGGGGTTTGCTGTGTAGGGACAGAGATGCTCCGGGTCGGGGCGTGGAGCGTGGCCTCGTGGCCTCCTGCTGACCAGGCGGAAGGGGGAGCAGTGGAGGGAGGCGGAGAGCGAGGGGACCCTGGCGCTGTCCCTCCCTCACCACGTCCTGGGGCCGCGCCCGCCCCTCCCGCGCTGCGTGGGCTGAGCCTCCCCAGTGGCCCCAGTGATTTTGGGACCAGGCTGGTGGCCCCAGAGTGGTGACCTGTTTAGGCCTCAGCAGAAATACACACCAGTAATAATGTATTTGATTCTCGTCCTTCCAAAAAACTTTCAAATACGTTCTTCTAAGACCTTTTCTTATGTTCTTTTAAGACCTGTAATATGTTAAATATGTTTCAGCTATGTTCCCCATGTCATTGCATTTTCTTAGAAGAGGATTGCAAAATATTTAACAGTAAAATATTTCTGGTCGAAAGCTATTATCAATGTTAGACTTGGATTTTTCAAACAAGTGATTTTGCATCTTTGTCAGCATTTTGACAGCAACAAACTTTTCTCAATTGTTCAATGTTAAAGACTCTTTAAAAAATCCTTTTTTGGTTTTCTCCTAAAAAAAAAAAAAACCTTCTGAGAAAGTTCATTTTTACTCTTCAGATAGCTATGAGGTAACTAATGGCAGTTACCCCAAGAGCCCTGGTGGCTGCCCTTATCCCTACGCCCTTCCTTGTGTTTCCATCCTGAAATCACAGCTAAACGAGGTCACAGAGCACGCTTGGGTGAAAACAATTAGGCTGATTCTCGGGGGCCCCACCAGTGCCTTGAGGCTGCCTCCCGGGCTGGGCCGGTGTCTGGGGGACCCCTGGCTCACAGACTGGCACCTGTGAGTCTCCAAGCTCTGCACAGCCTTAGATTTACCAGGGCACCCAAGTGTGCTTTCCAATGAATTAAATAGCGTATTCGCATGAAAGATGCGTGGCCCACGAGATGGACGGGGAGATCGCTTGTAGCCCCCTGCTCACCTTGCTGCATTCTCTGACCCTCCGCTCTGGTCCCCGTAGCCCCCATGTAGAACCTCGGATGCTCACGTGTGCCCACCACGGTAGCAGTGGACAGAGGGAGGTCTGAGGTGTGCAGAGATGCGCGGGGAGGTGGCCCTGTCCGCGGTGCTCCAGCCCTCGCCTTTCCACCGGGGACAGTGGGCGCATTAGGGGCGTGAGGCCCCAGCCAATGTCACGACATCTGGTGACCTGCATTTGCGGCTTGTCTGACTCGGCCTGCCCTGCCCACGTTGTTTCTGCTCTTCCTCATCCATCCCGTGCCCCCTCATTGGCCCCGTAGTTTGGAGCCACGGGGAACATTTCCCTCCCGCCCCTGCCTCAGCGTCGACCCCTGCGTCCGCGTCGGGGGGTGGTGGTGGATCTGGGGGGCTGCGTGCGGATCCTGCCTCCATCCTCTATGCACACTTACTTAACTTACTCTCATAATTGTAGTCTCCTTGCAAATCTTTTCCGTTCTGAATTCAGATGATGCCGCGGCTCCGGCGTTGGAGACTCATCCTCAAGGAGATGAGGAAGGTGAGTCCGGGAGAGGACCGGCCGTGGGGGGGGCAGGCGCGAGGGTGGCCAGGCAGCGGGGCGGGGAGAGGCGTCGGGGTCAGAGCTGCGTCCGGAATGGACCTAATAAGCCAGAAAGAAACACTTCAGGGTCTCACTGTACACGGCATCTGGGAAACCGAAAGACAAAACTCAGATGCGCAGAAGCAGAGGGTGGAAGGAAGGGCTGGGGAGACGGAGGCGGAGGGAACGAAGGCAGCTGCGCAGGATGAATGGCCGCAGGTCAGAGCAGGGGCAGCGCGGGGCGCACGGTTCGTGATACCGTCTCCTGCACCGCAAGTCTCCGAACCACACACGCAAAGCAGCTACGTTAGTTTGCTTTATTGCACAAATTAACTCACCACGTACATGCAGATGCAAACACCGTGGGTGCACCTAAATATAGATAATACAGCAAACTCACGAGCAAAAACGGATTGTGTTTGGCCATTTCCAACTTAAGGAGGACACCCACTGTTTTTCCTGATGACTTTGGGTCTGGGGTCTTTTAAATGTCACTATGGTGCTTTTATATAGCAGAAGGCTGAGGTTATTTTTCTAAATAAAAACTTCTCAGTTGACATTTTACAACTCGGATAACATAAAATGAATGTGTCGTTCAAAGGGTGCAATGACACGTGCCATTTTCTGCTACTGTTTCACATCTTTACAAGTGTCATGAAAAGGATAGATTTCCTGTTTTTACCTTTCGTAAATTGTCCCAGGTATTTGCTAAGGTACAACAAATTCTCAGAGCAAAGGAGGACAGGATCTGGAGGCAAAGTATAAAAAACACATACTGTGAATAAATCACAGATTGAAATACAGAGTCGCATGGTGCTTTGCAAATAATAATAATAATAGCTGATGCACGAAGTGCTTCACTACGAGCGCTCCTGCTCCGTCACCTACCTGAGTCGTCAGGTGCCAGTCCACAGACGAGAACGCAGAGGTCATTTGTCCAAGGTCACGTGGACGGTGAATGGCAAATGGATTCCGCTTGGGGTCTGTGTTCTTAGGCACTTAATAGTGACCCTCACCGGAAACACCCACTTTTGTTGTATAAATGATGTTACTACAAGAGATGTGCGCCTGAGAAGTTTTAGGCAGACGGTATATTTTACATATTGCATCTTGTATCAAATCTTTGACCTGAGTGAAAACCCTGTATGTTATGTGTGAAAGAATATTTTTGCCACCCAAGGATATATTTTTATACTTTTAGACACTTTTCTAAAAGCCAATTCTTTTAAAGTAAAACCCGTCTGGATTCAAATGGCTTGTAATTATTATTACACTTTGGGATAAAGAAAAAATATGCTAAAATAACGCTTTAAATTGTATATTATTATTTTCTTTGTCTTATCCATATAATCATTTGAACAATTTCTGTAAAAAATGCACAATGTATATTCATTTATTATACTGAATTTTTTGGCTTTTAGGCTACCTGCTGAGATCTTTAATTGAGGAACTTTGTGCTTTCATAATGAGATAAAAATAATTATCATTTTATTCTGGTTCACTAGATATTGCATCTCGTTATCCTACTCTTTGGACGGAGCAAGTTAAAAGTCGACAGAACAAAACCAATAAGAATTCAGGTAAGATGGGCCAACGTCACTTCGTAAGGAGTGATTTAATAGGTCCAGAAAATGATTTTATTTTCTTGCAATTAATTGTATAGTGCAGTTGATCCTTGAACAACACGGGGAAGAGGGACACCGTCCCCTAACAACGGCACAGTGAAAACCCCACATGGAACTTTGGCTCCCCCAAACTTAACTACTAACAGCCTGCCGTTGACCTGAAGCCTCACCGACAGCATAAATGGTCATTACCACACATTTTGTATGTTATGTGTGTTATATGTTGCATTCTTACGATAAAGTAAGCTGGAGGAAAGAAAATGCCACTGAGAAAATCATAAGGAAGAGAAAATACATTTACCGTTCATTAAGCAGAAGGGGACCATCGTAAAGGTCTTCAACATCATCATCCTCACATTGGGTAGACCGAGGAGGAGGGGGTGGTCTTGCTGTCTCGGGGAGGGGCAGAGGTGGAAGGAGACCGGTGTATAAGTGGACCGTGCGGTGCAAACCTCCGTTGTTTAGCGTCAGCCGTGTATCTTTTTCTTGGCTACTGAGTCATGGAAATAATTCTTCCAGCTCAACCACCAAAATATATTTCAAATTTTGGTGTTTTTATTAAATTTTTAAAATTCTTCAAAAGATTTCTCTGTATGTGCCAAGCAAGCTATAGTTTTAAGTATAAAAATGTGAATATTTGTTAGTATTTGCTTTTGACTTAATTTCAGAGATGTCAAAACACTTGGTTATCTTAAAGTCCTCCAAGTTGGGTGGATTGGGTTTGCTACGAACCAGAGCTTGGTAGAACTTTCACCTCTTAAAACTGACTGTTTTGATGCTTTGTAGACAAGTAGCTTCATCTTTGGTGAGTGATTTTGACTGTTTTCATGAAAACTGACCCCCCATAGTTTGCATCTGAGCTCTCTTATGTTTCCTCTTGCCTTTTCAAATTGAGATTTCATAAATTCTCACCGAAAGCAAGCAGTCATCCAGGTTTAAAGCATTCGGCTGCTGAGGAAGCACAGACTTAGTAACAACACGGATTTTCTATGATCAGCTGTGAGCGAAAAACTTGCTAACACACAAAGACTCCGCTGGCATTAAAGCTTTGTTATGTGCATTAGGTGTTTTCCTTGAAAGTACATTTTTAACATCCACTTACAGAAAGATAAAAAGGTTCAGGATCCTAAGAGCAGTTTGATTCTCTTTTCTCCACCTGTGCCCCTGACTGGCGCATCCTGTCAAGGACTGTTGAGGGGAGACGCCTGCGTCCCCAGGTCACCAGCCACCGCAACACCCCGTGTGGTGGGAGCGTCTCGGCTGCAAAAGGTGACGTGAGTGGCTCGTAGTGGTGCCATCAGGGGTTAGGAGGGGCGGGTCCAGTGCGCGCTTCCTGCGAGATTTCCACCTCAAGGTTCCTGCCGCCACCCCCACCCTTGGATGGCGACCGCTTAGCTGCGCCTTGTTACCGGTGAGCGATTTCCCTTCGACCTTCTGGGCTGAGGTGAGAAAGGCAAAGTCCAGGGGTTTGACCAGCACATACATGCATACGAATGGCAGGAAAATTAAAAACATGTTTATAGAATTTATTTTTTTCAGAAATGATTGTTATGAACACGTATTCCCTATTGTATAAAGATACTAACTTCTGTACTTCTCTTACGAACTTCAGAGACTGAGTTTTCTTCAATTCTGTCACCCTATTTTCAGAAGTTATCTTATTTCATTTGCTTCTGTATCATACACACCAATCTTGGGAAATTTAACTTAGAACACTGTATGTTTCAGATTTACTGGTAGATTCTGAAAGCAACATGACAATACCTAAACTTCATTTGAAAAATAAATATTAAATATAGAACTATTATAAACAATGGCACTGAAAATATACATTTTTTAAAAAAGCAAATTTAATTTTTAGTGGGACATCAGTTCAGGTTTGGTGTGTTGAGTTTCACATCGGTTCACGGAGGAAGGATGTCGCTGAGTTTCACCGTTCACTTGCTGCTGCCGGATTTCCGAGCATTTGCAAGACCTGCCAATTATAATTAACCAGTAAAAACTGAGCAGGCTTTTAGTATTTAGTGGGATTGAAAATAATGTCTCAGGAAATTCCAGTTTACATAAGTTACCCTACACTATAATTTGATTTAAATCAGCCCAAATGAGTAGAACACAGAAAGATGACGTTGAGTTCACTTACAGACACGGCGCATGAAATTATGGGATTACGTATTTGTTTAATGCTGCTTGTCCAGCTGCATGTTCTTTTTGAGGGTCTGGAGAAAGACATCGTTGGTATTTTAAGATATTACAAATAGCATTCAATTTATTAAGTTTTAACAATGAGATGGGTAATGATCATAGGGTTTACAAAATAATCACTGTTGTCAGTGAAATTTCAACATCGGACTCATTTCATTTGTTTCAATTTTTATGTTCAAATAATGCTTTAACTTATACTCAGCTTTGGTAGATATAGACACAGTTATTTAACAAACATAAATAACCTGTGACTTATTATTCTGTATTTTCAAAAATTTACTTAGCTTGCCGATACATACTCTTTCATGTTTTATGAAAAAGGCCAAACTGGAAATGCATTGCTTTTTTGTTTTCACTGATGTCTCCTTATATTAGCTAAAAGTAGTATTTTTCCCATAAGTTTTTTGAAAATAACATAATATTACTTTTGTTACCAAGTACAGTATGATCGCCAGGCAGCGAAAAGCAGAAGGCGCGTGTACGGTGATGATCGGGGTGATCATGCGGCTTTGGAGCACGTGGTCGTCGTAGGTTTTTTGTTTTTTTTCAAAGGGACCACCCTTGCAAAGGAAAATAAATTGCTCCTAGTCTATGAAAAATTGCACATGGTAGCTACCCGATAAATATTTATTTACTAAATTCGTAATAAAGAGTTCTACCTTCATATGGTTCATGGGTACTCCAATAGTACCTGCTTTTTTTTCCCTAAAACAAGCTAAATGAAATAAGAAAAGTAACCAAATGGATAAATAACTAGAAAAGAGGTAATTGAAGCACTACTATAGTTTGACCACTGGAATTATTTTGATCAAAGTACAATATAAATAAATTATTATCCTATTGGTTCCTTTAGTATGAACAGCACCACTTTAATTGTGTGAATCAATATACGTTAAATAAATGAGTAAAATCTGAAGTTGCTGTTCCTTAAGAATGCTTTGCTCATTTTTCCCGTCAATGTAAAATTGAGTGTTATTTTTTTACTATCTTGAATCATTTTATTATATTGGGTTTTATTATTCTATTGGTAGAATATATACAAACTGATTATAAGATTTTATCAGATAAGATTTTCTGTGAGATGCTTTTAATTATATAAAATGTATTCACATATCTATCCGTTAAACAAATATAAATCTACTTGGTACGCTTCTCCCGTGGCGCACTGAGTGCTTTCTAGGTTTCCGCCCGTGTCCTCCATCACAAATCTAGAATATTTAGGAGGGGGCTGTAGTTTTTTTCTCAGCTGGACAATCTATTAATATCATCACAGAATTACAAGTGCCGTTCACGAATCGCAAATACCAATGGGCCTAGGGCTCCATATCCTGTCCGTAATAAAAGACGTTTTTCTCTAGAGAAAAGGCACGTGATCAGGACATTTTAAAACAAACGTGGGGGTCTGACCTATAGGGCCGGGGGCTCTTGTGACAGTTCCTGCCTCACTGGAACCATTTTCCATGGTTTGCCGCGTGGTGCACGGGAAGGGGGGTCCAAACAGAACCGGAGAAGCTCAAGTAACGTAGGCAGTTTCGTGAAACTGGCAGGAAGATTATTCAGTGGGGTGAGTGAATTGAAAACTTGTCCTTAAAATGATTGTGCCCGTACGTGCGTGTGTGGTACCCAGCACCCCCGCCCCAGCATCACGAGCTTTCACGAAAAAACAGAGCACGGGAGCCTGGTGGCCGTCCCCACGCCATTCCAGTGCCGTCATCTTCCACAAAATACCAGAACCAGGTTACCACCACCACGCTACTTTTACTCCAAGCACAAAGATTTCTTAAATTCATGTAAAAATCTCGTCTCAATTTCACTGATTACTAATAATTAGTGTTTTGGGTCCTACTCTGGGTCTCCACATGGCATTGAAGAGTGTGAGACGAGTTCAGAAGTAGGTGCATGAACTCAAAAAACGTCTGTGAAAATGTTTCTATTCTAGGAAACAAAAGCCTTGGGCTGGGCTGGCGGGGAGGGAGGGGAGGCAGCGCCCTGGCCTGGGGAGGCCATGGCAGCCTCCACTCGTTTGGCCTCGGGGTGGACAAAGTCGTCGGTTCTGGGACCCATGGAGCCCAGAAACCACGTCTGATCGTCAGGACGAAGGGTCAGACGTGGACCCTGTCGCAGTCGGCCCAGCGGGCGGCAGACTCGGTGGCTGGCAGGTGGAAGGCAGCCTGGCGGACGTGGCCTGCTGGCCAGAACAGTTCAGTCTGACGCCACGTGAGTCTGCGGCCTTTCAACTTAACAGCGTGTGCCCAACCTGTTACCTGACGCCCGGTGCTGCCAGGTGCTTTGTCACGGGGGAGAAGTTCACGTTTCCTTCTCCTCCGAGTTTGGTCTTTTGGGGGGTCCCAGGTCAGTGCTGAGACAGGTCTTACGTTGGCTGGGGAGCCCGGAGCTTCAGGCGAGACCTCTTTGGCCGTCGGTGGGAAACCCAGGCTGAAATGTGCTGGTGGAGAAGGGAGTGGAGCCCCCAGGGAGGCCCCAGCTGGGCGTCTGTGCGTGGGTGGGGCAGGCTGGGCTCTCTGCTGCCTCCTGCAGACCCCGGCACTTCCTTCCTGGGACCTGTGATCACCAGCCAACAGGGGCAAGAGGCCGCGTGGTCCACCATTCTTCCAATCACAGGGAAAGAACTTACAAGTTGGCAGCTGCTAAACAGGGAACAGAAGCTCACGCACTGTTCTGTGTCTGCCTGCCAATGCCAGAGCTACGAGGGACCTGGGGACTCTGGTGCAGGTTCCAAAGTGGGTGAC